ATGAATACTTGTCAAGATGTATTTTTAAAACTTTAACTCATTCATATTAGATATTATCAATATAATTAAATAATATCAGTCAATCATTTTTACATATCATATCAATTTTAATTATTTATTTATTTGTTCACATAAGTTTAACTAATCATCAATTCACTTCAACTTTCTTTTACTTTAGATCAAATCAACTTTAATTATTTTATTTTAAATATTATGTTAATATAAACTCAAAATTCCACTTACACTAACCGTGCAACCTTTTCAAAATTCACTCTGGTTAACCAAAAAAATTGTTTTGAGCGGATATATTTGTTTTGAAGCACGCCGTAAACTCCTCATTTAATCTACTTTCCTATCCTACAAGTTGAATCACACAACAAAAAATGGCCAGGGTTGAAACCAAAATCACAAGTATCATATCAGAACCAGGCACTTCATGAACTCCACTCCCATCGGCAAGCTTGGGAGAGTAGTTTTTCTGCTGCCCCTTCACGACCTCCACCGGGAACATGCACCCACCCGTCGACGGGTCTGCAGTCACGACCTGCCCGAGCCCTCCGAACTCGCACTCCTTCTCGTCTTGAAACTTTGCTTGGAAATACATGTTGAACGCGTACGACACATTCTGCCACCTGTCGAGTCCACTGCACGATCCTCCTGTGTACATGCTCGTGCAATCCCCTCCACCGCACGCGACCCTATACTCTGCCTCGACCCTTTCGTCGTCCTCCAACGACGGGTCTAACACGCACCACCGCTCAGGCATCCGGTTGATTTCGCGGGCCCGGGCCGGGAGCACGTCTCGACCCTGGCCCGTTAGGTCGACCCGATATTTCGGCTCCCCGTTGGACCTGTAGATCCCCCAATGCCGCCCGTAGGGTCGGTCGGGTGGGTACTTGTTTTCGTCCGTGAGCGCGTGCACGTAAACGTCGATGTGCTTGCCCGGTCGCTTGGGTGTCCCCCGGCCGCCAGAGACGAGCGGGAGGAGGGCCTTGTAAAACCGCTCGGCGTTGGTTGCGCTTGCGTTTGGGTACCCGTCGGTGGGCCACCCGATCTGGGTCACGACGACCTCCACGTCGTGGGCCCCGACCTTCTCGAGGGCCCACGCGAAGGCGTCGTATATGAACTCGAACGCGTTGGTGTACACGGCGCCCCCGATATCGGTCACGACGTGGGTCGATCGGTTGTCGGCAAAGGCGAAGTCGATGTCGTGAATGCCGAGGGCTCGCATTATCTCGATGGGGAAGAGGTTGATGCAGACGGGGGCTCCGCTGGCTTTGACGATGTCGAGGTACCTCACGAATTGCTCGTGGACCAAGACGTTGATCTCGGCTTCGGAAGGCCTTGTGAATTGGTTGTTTAATACGGAAAAAGGATGGCTCATGGTCGCCTTCACGTGGCTAAAGCCGGCAGCGTTGAGCGCTCTTTGTGTGTTGTTAAGCATGTCGATTGCATTGTTCTGCAGTGTCGTGTCATTTAGTGCCGATGCGAACATCTGGTCCCCGACGTAGACTCGCCTGACCATGTTTTTTACATTATGCAAGTTAAAACCATGTATATATAATTTGGAATTTTGGATATATATATATATATTTTTTTTTTGCTCGAGCGCGTGTTATATAACATACGTTATGTTAGAGGGGCTGAACCATGCGGACCTGCGGTCGACCCACGCCCGGGCATCCTCGTAAGTGGCGACTTCGTCGACATCGTAAATGGTAATGGCGAGGTTGATGCCGCTACCAGCGAAAGCCTCGAGTATGTCGGTCTCGGTTGAGAAGATTCGGGCCGCGGGAACACGGTTTTGGAGGAGGAGATCGACCACCACGGAAGGTATTAGCCGCTGCGCGTTTTGACGGCCCCAATTTATGCCGATTGCGCCCTCGATTACGAGTAAATTGGTGCAGCTCATTGTTGCAATGAATAATACAGCTGCATATACTGATGATGAATAATGGAAATTGATGAGTTTGGAAGCCATTGAGCGTGTGTTGAGATGATTTTGGGTTTATTATATTTGCATAATAATGTTATTATGTGGGTTTTAGGTCTTTGAGGCTTTCCATTTTTGGAGGGGAGGTCATCAGTTTTTTTTTTTTTTTT